TGTCGAGCGGCCGCTTGATGTCGGGTCGTCGTTGATGAAGTGGACGGAGGAGGGCGAGGTCGCTTGCGAGTGGACCGCGGAGGGGAAGGTGAACCACTGGAGGGAGGTGTCTTGGCAGCCGAAGTAGACTGTCTGGAGGACGGGGCACCAGACGAGGGAGAAGAGATCGCCGGCGTCATTTTCGCCGTGGGGGTTGATGAGGTAGAGGGGCGAGAGGGTGCGCGTGGACCAGACCTAGACACGGGAGGCGGGACGCATGAGAGCAGAAGAAAGCACGGGCGGGGTATACGTACACGGATCGTACTGTCCCCTGCGATGGGGAGGCGATGGTCGGTTGAGTACCCGGAGTAGAATGACAGGGAGGGTTGACGCACCAGATGCACTAAAGAGCCAGTCTTTGTCGGCGGCGTACTCGAGGGCGAGGATGCTGCCGGTGTGTCCCCTGAGGGTGGCTTTGAGCTTGAGGGTGTCTTTGTCCCATACCTATGCCACATCACAAGGCTGCTCAGCATGACGCAGACGACGGCGACGACGCGGACTGACGGAGATGTCCCCGGTGGGTCCTCCGCTGAAGAGATGGGCCGAGTCAGCGGCGAGGCTGAGGACGGAGTTGCGCTCCTGGCGGAGGCTGTGGAAGAGTCGCGGGGGACGCTCTGCGCTGTCAAAGGGACGACTGAGGGATGCTGAATCGTCGCGATCGCGGAAGAGGTGAGCGGGCTGGGGGTAGGGTGCGAGGACGCACATGGAGGTGACGTACGGTGAGGAATGGTCGGGCTCGGGCTCGAACTTGCGACCATTTAAGCAGAGGAGGCGGCGGCAACGGACGCAGTGACGGGTTGCGACGAATGGAACGAGATGGATTGGCAGGACGAAACGCAGACACAGGTCCTCGCTCGGAAGGGCACATAGGATCGCGTGCACCGGCGGGCACGCGACAGGCGCGCAGAGGCTCGCCACCCACGCGTCTATCACGCGTCGACATTCGCCATTCTCTCCTCACCGCCGCCCAATCCCTGCCCCCGTCCTATAAACCTCCCTGACACACTGACACCTGCGCTGCTTGTGCGACGACCATCACCCTCCCTGCGCCCACCATCAGCTCAAAATGCATCGTCTGTCCCCGTCTCCTCTGCAGCCTGATGATGGACCCTGTCGATGGAACTGCGCGTATTTACGCAACGACACGTACTGTCCTCCCCCACCCCGTATCTTTGCGCGATCGCCCGCGCACTCATCTAGTCGCATCCGGATCTTCCCCCTCTCCTTCCCGCGAAGACCCAACTGACCGCATCGGGCTGCATTCCCCTCTGCGTGACCTTCGGCGCACGTCCGCGGCCGCTGGACACACCGCTCATTCGGCATTCGGAGACATGTCCCATCTTTTGGTACAGCCCATGATTTCAGGCCTGGGCCGTGGTTACTGTCGCCGTACGCAGTCCTTACATTACCTATGAACTCAGGTCACAAGCCTGCTGCTCCATTCCGAATGTACGTCAATCACGACTCCTGCTATACGTCGGCCACGTCTATCCTCTCAAGAAGCCCCAGACTGCTTCTAGTGTCCGGCGTGTGCCGCGCTGCCTGGACGTCCTGGCAGACATCCCTCCCTCGGATCTGTTGTTGGCAACACTCGGGCTCCCACGTCTCCTGCGAATCCTCTCCTGAACCCTCCGCTGGCCTCTATCTCCGCCTCCGTCTCGCTGCAGATCGGGTTGTTTCGTGCCTCTTTTGTGCACATCTGTGTCTTGTTCGGACAGCTCTCGGTACGCCTCGGAAGCGAAGCTTTCTCAGTGTCTGACCAGGTAGCCTTATGCGCAATCTCAGTCGTGTCGGATTTGGGGGCGACGGATATGGGGACAATACTGTATCTCCTGGCCAGTGTTCGGAATCCAATTATCAACGTGTGCGTGTTCCCAGATCCCGGAGCAACCAGGCGTCCGAGGGCGTCCGCTCTCGCGGCGAAGTCGATGGCCTGCGCGGTCTCATATTATCCTCCCCCGGAATGAAATGCTTTGTGGGAGACGAGATCATCGTACTCCGATGATCATGTTTTATGGACTCGGGGCTCGGGGCCAGTAGATGGCGTGCAAGCACGCCAGCTTGCGCTCAGATTGCCTCTGCGACGACGCTCAGGAAAGATTTCAGTGGTTGGGTCCGCGATCGGTGGCAGGTGAAACACAACTCGGTATCAGGTCTCATACCTGCGAAGAGTTCGGACAGCAAGAGACGACCGTCGGAGCAAGTACCGTGGTGCTTAGTTCGACATAGTCAAGTTTCGTAGTGCTTAGGTTTGTCGGCGTATTACAACCTTCGCTCTTGTAATGTTGGGCTTGTTAAAATCGTGAAGACATTGTCGCGGATATAATCTGCACTGCCGTCGCACCGATAGCAATTGATATACTGCGCCTTGCCAGTGAAACCACGTACCGGGGCAAATTCTGTGCGCACGGAGATGTCACCGAGTTGAGAGATACATGTTCAATCGGCGGGATGATAGCTTTGCGCGATGACTTCAGCCTGACTCGCGCGCAGTGAAGAGGTAGTGTTCGCGAGGTGAAAGTGCAGTGTACATGACATGATTGAGGCGACTCGGACACGAACGGGGATCTGAGTCTTGGCTGGTTAGGTTACTCGGTGAATCAAGGACTTCCTTCATGAGATAAGAATACAATCAGCATATCCACAAGTAGCCATGAATCACAGAAAGCTAGCGAAATGGAGAGTGCATGAAGATGTTGAGAGGGCATCAATGCTCAGAACGGCCGAGATTCAATTGTCTGAGGCAGTCACAGCAAGCATAACAAAGTATCTGCACGTGCGATACCCTATGCGATACCGTATGAAATACTTAAAGTAACCTCGCTCCGGATACTGTATATGCGGATACCGAAATCGTAGATACTTTAAGTATCCCAGAATGGAATGCTTAAAGTTTCCCATTATGGTATCACAGGCTGGGATACTTAAAGTGTCCGCGCCGATTACGAGTGACACTGTGACCGACAATAGATGAGAATGAAGACAATTAGTTCAGATGGACCATTGACCGCCACACTCGGAACTCGAAGCCTCGCTGAAGGGAATTACGTAATACTGGTGGCACAATGCACGGTGGCGGCAAGTCACGTCGCGTCGCGGCATGTCACGTTGCGTCGCGGCAGGTCGCGTCAAGTCGTGTCATGGCAAGTCGCGTCGCGTCATGTCGTGTCGTGTCGCGTCGCGTCGTGTCATGTCACGGCGTGGCATGTCATGTCATGTCATGTCGCGTCGTGTCATGTCATGTCAAGTCGTGGCACGGCGCGGCGCGTCATGTCATGTCTCTGTTGTACTGTGTTTGCCTCGGAGCCACTCTTTCGAGCCTGTCGGTTCTCCAGTCCTCTCGACCAAGTGACTAAATACAGTAGGAATATGCCATAGATCTAGCCACATGTTATAACAGCTGTGTGAATCAAAGAATTAAGCTTGGGGGCACTCAGTTACTCATAGGATTGACCAACTCGGAATCAAGAGACTCGTCGGGGCAAACACAGTACAACAGAGACATGACATGACGCGCCGCGCCGTGCCACGACTTGACTTGACATGACATGACACGACGCGACATGACATGACATGACATGCCACGCCGTGACATGACACGACGCGACGCGACACGACACGACATGACGCGACGCGACTTGCCATGACACGACTTGACGCGACCTGCCGCGACGCAACGTGACATGCCGCGACGCGACGTGACTTGCCGCCACCGTGCATTGTGCCACCAGTATTACGTAATTCCCTTCAGCGAGGCTTCGAGTTCCGAGTGTGGCGGTCAATGGTCCATCTGAACTAATTGTCTTCATTCTCATCTATTGTCGGTCACAGTGTCACTCGTAATCGGCGCGGACACTTTAAGTATCCCAGCCTGTGATACCATAATGGGAAACTTTAAGCATTCCATTCTGGGATACTTAAAGTATCTACGATTTCGGTATCCGCATATACAGTATCCGGAGCGAGGTTACTTTAAGTATTTCATACGGTATCGCATAGGGTATCGCACGTGCAGATACTGTGTTATGCTTGCTGTGAGTGTAGCCAAGATCCTGGCCCGATAGGGTGGGCGCTTGGCCACCTCGAAGCCACAACCGCGTTCATCACGTGGTGCCGTTGATCGTGTCGGACTCCGCCGCGGGGATCTTCAGCCACAGGCGAGACCGCAACACGACTCAGACCTCAACCTCGATGTCGACGCACACCAGTCCCTCGCACCCCATTTCACCCCTTCCGTATCGGGCGCTCTACACTTTGCAACGACTCCTGCGTCCTTCCGATGGCCTCCATCGCTCCAGGCTCCCCCGGTTCACGACATCGCGCGCACGCCTCGCCAGCCACCGAACTGCTGCCTTCAGCCAACATGATACGCTCCCTAACCGGAGTGGAATCTAACCCTAAGCATTCATGGGGCTGTTCTGTGCTCATCACTCCGCTCAGGGACTACAGCGTCGCGTCTGGTGATGTGCCCCGAGCGATGGCACGTTATATGGATGGGAGTCCTTGCCTGACGGTGCGCAGTCGTGTGGCCTGAATCTTGCAGTTCATAGCCTCGGTACAATCCTTACTGCCTGCTCTGGTGATCTGCTCGTGGTGATCTCTCTCAGCGCCGTTCATCGCATCTCCGGAAAGTGCCCCATTCCCGCGTACCAGTCGACGCGTCGTCCAGACATGTACGCACAGATCTCCGCCAGCGTCTGCCTAGGGACCCCTCGTCTCTTGCATTATCGTCACCGCGCAGGATGCCATGCCTTCGGGCGCGCGTCCAAGCATGAGGTGGGGGAAGGCGATGCCGGAAAGCGCGAGATCCGTCTGCGATGATGGCGGGCTGCGGGGTGGGCACCAGAGACGCGTCGCGGGTTCATAACGGGCTTGAGCTCCGAGAGTGAACGAGCCACGCACATCCAGACAGGTGGTGACCAAGGAGCAGTACCAGGCGGATAGGTCACGTACAGGCCTCGATGCCTCCTTTGCCTATCGTCGCTCTCTGCTCGATACTGGCCGCAGCGCATTCTGACGGCTTGGAACGACATCCTGTATAACCTTCTCGACGCGTATTCCCGCTACGAGCATTCCGCACTGGGCACGAGCAGCCCGAGCCCCCGGGCTCACCTCCGAGGGCCAGGTCGTAGGGCATGGCTCACCCCCGGCGATATTTATGTGGCTTTCCGCTCGCCGTAGGCTGCCTCTGTGTCCGCTGCTTTCCCCAAGGCAGCGAGCAGGGGCTGGAGCCTAGAAGCGTCGGCTGGCGCATCGAAACTGCATGGCTCCGCGGCTAAGTGGTTGGCTGGAGCACGGGGCGTGCGTGTGTTTGTCTGGACGCTAACGGGACGCACAGGAAGGCGCGGCGCAACGTTGTGGAGGTAGCTTGGGCCCAGGAAGGGATATGGGTACAGGTGCGTGTGGACCGCGTCGAAACAAGAGATGGTCGTGGCCCGGAAGTACGCATGGAAGGGGGGATTGGTGACGATGGTGGTTCGCCGCTAGACGTATGGTCCTCCCGTGTCTGTTCAGCCGCCCCCAACTCCTGTCCTTCCAGCACAGGAAGGCGGACAGCGATCACCCACCACACGTACTCGGTTCTCACTGTGCTGTTGTCGTTCTGCACTGTCCGTGGTCATGCTGTGGCAATTAGGTTTGCGTCTGTACCCAGCCGAGGCCTCTGGGGCGTCTGAATGGCTCCTTGACAACTTCGTTTCTGACGTTCTGCGGAGACCTGTCTCCTCGAACTGGTTCTTCTGGCTCTGTTCTCGCCCTTCCGTGCAGCATTCGGTTTTGGAAAGCTCCCCGCTGTCGCCGCTGGGCGCGATGTTCGGTGATCCTGCGGCTGGTACCGCTTGCTCTGTTCCTCTCACCCACGCAGATCTCCGTGAAGGACGGCCCACTAGCTCCAGATCCCTCCCGTTGTCGTCAGAGTTGCGGTTCCTTCGGGACGCCGTAACAGAGCCTCGTGCTCGAGTCTGACGACGGTGAGTGCCCTCGGGCCTGGCAGTGCAATCGGCTGGTGGGTGCGGTTCCCTGGCGGCAGGTTCCTCTGTGTGGGGCGCAGGGTTGCAGACGGGTGATGAGTAGGCTGTGGGTGAGGACTCGTATCCCGGTATGTTGCAGCGCGTGTGGGTGCTGGATGGTGCATACGTGCAGGAAGGCGGGGCAGTCCAGTTGGCTGGCTCGGAGGCAGCGAGCGGGACGTCGGCGTGGACTTTGGTCTGTGAGAACGCGTCGGTGTGCTCGGAAAGCGTCTTATGCTTTGGTGGCGCTTGTCTCCCACAATATAGCATGGTCCTCTGGCCCCTCGTGGGTAAGGATGGTGTTGGAAAGTCAGGCATGGTGGTGGAAAACCCGAAGCCCTCGGGCGCTAGGGGAAGTACTATGGAGCAGGAACTGAGAGCGCGCGTGTGGGCGTGGGTCTCGTGTTTGAGCTGGTGTCGTTGCGGGGGAAGAGGGCGTGGTCCTGCCCTCTTCGAGAGTGCGTTGACAGACGACGTGCGACGCAGCTTGTCTGCGTAAAGATGCTTTCGAAGCAAATTTTTTCCACATTGATGTCTTCGTGATATCTTGCTCTGTCTCCGTACCCTGGTTGGCGGCGGTCGTCCGAAAACAGTGCGTGCTAATGGCTTACCGATTCGCTCTTCGAATACTGACATCGAGAAGCTTACAGGTATCCCTTCCACTATCCGACATGCATTGGCCATCAGCATAGTGGAAACGGTAAGCACATCATGTATCCTTATCTGTCTGAGCCACATGTATGTATGATGTTGCCGTGTCTGTCTGATCGCACTGGGCAACGGGCCTTGCATGTCGAGCCTCATATCTTGTACGCGTCGATCCTGTCAACCAGCGTCATTCATCTACTCTTGATGCTGCATCGCATCACACTGGGGCTTCCGTCATGTAGGTCATCAGTCACTTAGACTACCCTTACAAATTGATAGATCTCGGAGTAGATCCCAAAGTCATGCATTGGTCATGCAACGCATGTTCTCCATTATCGCGTGCCGTGGACCACTCGATGTTCACGGAGGCGCGCAGCGGCATACGATACCGCAACGAATTGTGACGAGGAGCATCCTGCGTACACAGCTCAACTCTCTGCTGCCACGACGTGCAGTTGGATACTCACAAGAGTTCTGTCCATCCGAGGACCGTCGCAGCCATGTTCGTCCAGACGAGGCCGAACTTCTCAAGCGAGGGTAAGATTGCCGTCGCCATCATAGCCATTTACATCCCCCGTAGCGCGCTGGGTTCCATGCAATTATCGGTACGCGCGGCTGTGGATTACGCACGAAGGAAATGACACCCGCTTGCACGTCGATAATTCCTCCGCACTATGCAGGTGCAGCACATCGACGTACGCGGACGCAGGCTGAGCGTGAGGTCCGCCTGCCACAAAGGTACGTCAGTTTCGTCCGCAGATCTGAAGAAGTGGCCGCCGTGATGCACGCTGATCCCGTTAATGAACCGCGCGAGCACATTGAGTGAGATCCCTAATCTTCTGGGAACGAACACAGTGAGGAGCCCACAGATCAGGGCACTCGCCGGCGCGAGAGGAGGGATGTGCCTAGGCGGTCCTCGAGTAGCTAGGCCGTTGCGCCCTGTAGACGGTCAATACGCTCAACCGGACCTTGCGCGTTATTTGTGCGCCTGGCAATATCCAACCCGTATATGGGACCTCAAAGCCGTACACTGCGCGGGCGGCGCCAAATAGAGAGGACGATTCAGCCGGGGCCACGTGAAGGCATGACGAGTCAAGGAAAGCGGCCCAAAGCACGAATGTTCGAGTGTTGGAGGTACGTCTTCATATATTGACTAGGCCGGTTACTCACAGCTTTTCTTCGCAGTGCCCCTTCGCAGTGTCCGCAGCTTATGTGTCATAGTGCACGTAGCAGTGGCGCGTGCCAGGGCGCGAAGACAAAGTTTATTCGATAGGATGACCCCATGCGCAACACAGCACACATACGCTGAGTAGTAAGTGATCCAAACACTAGCTCATTCCTCATCTTCGCTCAAAGTCGCGGGGCATGGGAGTGAAGTGAAGGATATCGTATAATGAGGGAGTGCTCAAGTAAACGTCGCCCCGTCGTGCGCTTCTGTAGGTACGTCATTTTCTTCAAAAGTTGCAAGAATTACATGTCCGTTTAAGTACAGGCAGAGTTCGTTCGTGTTCAATACTCCGTCCTTTGTGGGTCGCCTAGAATAATTGATCCGGGTCTGTTATTCGGCATGACAGTCTAAGTAGGGAACATTTGAACAGGTGTGAGTGCTTCGCATTACGGGGATCTGAGTCATATGATTACACACCATGTTGTTCGTACTACTCTGAGGAGAAAGCTCAAGGACTCGGGCTCGTTGATTGTGTGTTGTTTAACATGGTTCCGTATGTTCAACCTAGTTCGCGAGAGGCGGGTCAATTACTACGAAAAACCATGATAGATTCATTTTCACACACATGACGAGCAAAGAGTTTGCATACACTGTCGAAAGGCCCTTAGCATGCATTCTGACATGCGAAACATACAGAGATGATACACACATGTTGCACTTGATGCTTGCAGGATCTCCGTATAGCAGGTGCTGTATCGTGCATCTAGACAGTACTGTGTAATATATAAGCTTTGTCAAGGCATGTGTGTGTAACTGGTGCACAGACAATGACAAGTAATGCAGCACTTATCACACTGACAAAGGAAGGGGCTACTCAATGAGTTGCAGAGATACAGTACACATAACATACGCACCAGAGCAATATTCCACGGCTGAGGATGTAGTTAAATAGCTTCATGATGATGTGCTCAGTGCTAGAGAGTGCATGAGTCCTTGTTGCTCACGTGATCACATCCTGATCATGAGGTATCACCTTCGAAATCCAGTTCTGCTGTGCTGTAAAGCATAGCATAACATGCATGTTATATATGTATCAGTGATAAGTGATACAGCATAAACAAAGACAACAGCATCCTGTGACAAATCATGGCAACAACATGATTCAGCCATCTGATGAGAAGAGGCAGCCTGTCATAGAGCACATACCAAATCCTTTGCAATGTCAACACCGTAAAACTGAGCTGATTTTGAGGAGAAAAAGCTGTCAAGGTCATGGATGGGTCAAAATTTGAACAAGACAGTATGGGACATTCATACCAGTTGTAGGATGTCCCTGTCATGGCACATACTAGTTGTCAGAATTCTTGCACATCTAGGCAAGTCAGCAGCTACCAAAATGCACATACATAGATATGAGCCTGTAGTACAACATCATGTAGAGGTTGAAGTTAATCAGCCTGAGTAAAAAAAAAACAAGGACAGACTCAGATGGCAACATACCTGACGACAACAGCAGAAGCATGACCTGTCCAAGTCATTTGTGAGTAAGGCAATACTGCCTAAGAGAAACAAGCTAGATAATCTCACTGAGGGTATAATGAATGTAATCATTGAGTATCTTGTTTTCAGTGCTTTGATATGCTGCTCAAGACTGAAATGCTGGTGCCACTTGACTCTGTGACTTACATAGAAGACTATGGATCTTTTGCAGGAAGTACCTAGACAGGTATCAGGAAACCTGATGTTGACATAGTGAGGTTTGTATTAACTTGCCATTGCACTGTGACTATCAATATACCCTGATAGGCTTGACTTTCAGTATGGACTGTATTGTGGTTGTGATTGGACAGCCTGGACCCACCTTTATAAGCTGTTCACCCTGTTGTCCAATGACATTTGAAAGGTATATGAATTGAACACAAGAGCAAGACCATCATATCCTTACACCAAAAAATCTGGTCCAGAAGTGTCAGTCTTGACCACTACCCAAGAGTACAATTCTGCAATATAGGAGGCTAATAGGATGTGAGACTTACGGATCTGCTTGGAGCAGAGCAGATATGTTGCCACGTGCAAAGACAAAGTAATGCCATGATTGCTACAGGAAACTGTGAGGGTAAGTTGTGGATCATTTGCACAATCCACTCACATGCACTTCTGTAATGACCTTTGCTGTATCAAGAAGCCTAAAATCATATCATCCAAGAGTTAGATCTAAAGCATGTAACAGAATGATGTATTGACAAGATAACATACCATATCACTGCTACCTACACAAATAAATGAGCATATTGCTAAGGATGGTATATATGACCTCATACCAATGATCTTACAGCACGTGTATCATTTTGATAGTTATAGAAGTAGAACATGGTCTGTGCACAAGTGATGCCACATAGTCTATGTATGAGCATTGGTCTCAGCAGTCATTCACTGGCACAGAGAATCAGAGGATGACTCACAGGTAAGACAGCTCAAGACCAGTGAAGAGTGACCACACACAGCTGCCATCAAGTTCAAGTTCAAGTGTGGGGTCAGCCATTGCTTCCAGATAGCAGAGGTGTACTGCAGTACAGATATCAGAATTGTCCACCCTGCAAGCCTGTACTTATATGCAAGTCACAAACCTTGAATCAAATCGTGAGGTGAGAATCAGACAGCAGTTTGTCTAAATACTGTCAGTTGGCTGACAGCTAAGAGGTATACGGGAAGTCATTATCCTAGTGACAAGTGGTCAATCATCGTATTGGATAGTTCATCAGCAATGATAGAAATGGCGGACCAAGACTCGGTGGTTCGAAGCGAGGAACCTTGTGATACCATGATTTGTCGAGTGGCATATCAGGTACTACCGGTACTAGTTCAGATTCACGAAGTGCGATGGTATTGTGTGGAACTCACAGAGACTGATGCTGTCCTGTATCGGCGATCCTATTACTGTAACCTGAGGCATTCGAATCTTATATATCAGTCCCACACGCGGATACCATAATATTCCCAGTGACGAATAGTCCTGGATGGGCAGATCTGTCAGCAATACAAGATATGCAACAGACATCACGGCGAAGCACGTACTCAACTGCATCTCAACTCCTCGGAGGAGTTAGCAATTTCCATTCAATCTATGTCCTTTGACTCGCTCGCCGAACAACTGATGAGCGTGAGCCACTTCTAGTCTAGCAAGGCTGTTCAATCGTTTGACGACCACTGGGGGTGATGCCAGAACTTCAAACCGACGTACCAGATGGATAGATGCAAGATGACCATAACCCTTGACTCAGAGCCATGACCAAGAACCGCGGTACATCAGTAATATCGTTGTAAGTCAACTTGAATGTTGCAGTGATCGGCCATACGGCAGGCAGTTTCAGGAGTGTAATCCGTCCGGCACTGACAGCATATGCGGGAATAGGTATAGGTAACAAAATTGAAGAACGCTGTGCGAGTGTCTTGAGTGTCGAGTGTTTGAGCGAGTCGACGGAGCGACGCGCGTCGAGCAAACCACGTCTAAGGAGGAATCGTGCACGTGCTGTGACGCGTTGCCTCCGACGGCGGTAAGCAGGGTGCTCACTGCAGCTCAGTGCTGTATGCTGCTGGTCCTTAGCACTTCACTAGATCTGAACTTTTGTGCATCATCGCCCGAGAGATATCTGCGGCGTCCCTACTCGGAGCCGCACACTTCACCCTATAGCTACAAATCAATTCATGTCGTCCCCCAAAGGTCAAGCAGTGAAGGACAAAGTGCGTCGTATCCGGGCCATGAACCTCAGGGAACACGGACACTCACCTCTACCCGACCACTGCAGGGCAACGCCGCCTTCAAAGCGGGCGACTTCCCCACCGCCGTCGGGCACTACTCCGCCGCCATCGTCGCGGACCCCGCGAACCCCACGTACCCGCTCAACCGCGCCGCGGCCTACCTCAAACTAGGCAAGTGCGTGGTCCCTCACCCTCCTTGCCTTCTGCAGCGCTGACGGCCAGGCAGAAACGAGGATGCGGAGAGGGACTGCGACAGGGTGCTGACCCTGGACAAGAAGAGCGTCAAGGCGATGTTCAGGCGCGGCCAGGCGAGGGTCGGCCTGCGGAGGCTCGCGGAGGCGAAGGATGGTGAGTGGCCGGGCTGCCTGCTCCGTGTGCGGTGTGCGGGATCTCATCGCGCCAGTCTCGCGGCGCAGATTTCGAGCGTGTGCTTGCGATTGACCCTGCGAACGGAGCGGCCAAGGCGGAGCTCGAGAAGATCGAGCGGGCGTTCGAGATGGCGGCGAGGACACAGAGCGTGCCGAAACAGGTTTGTAAATGCGTCTATCAGTGCATGTCGTGTATCCTTGACACCTCACGCAGAAACGAGAGCCTGCAGATATTCCGGTACCTCCGCTCGCCTCGAGCTCGTCTGCACCTGCAACACCCCAAAAGCCAAAACGTCGGCGAGTCCCCATCGAGATCGTCGACCCTCCCGCACCGTCCACGTCTAAAACCGCCTCTGTAACTACTGCAAAACCTACCGATGACTTGATGACGCCCGTGTCCTCACGGCCTCTACAACATCTCCTGGTCCTGCATCGACCTCTCCGCCCTGCCCAGCGCCTCAGTCGAAGACCTTCCAGGAAGCGAAGGAGCGCGGACAGCGGCGAGGCCGGGCGTCGGAGGTGGATTTCAGGCCGAACGGGAAGCACACGATAGTCGGGAGAAGGCTGCGAGTCCTCCTGCGGCGCTGCCCTCCGCCTCTCCGCATCACAAAGCCGCGCCTCCGTCGCGACTGCGCCGCGCGGAAGGCGAACGGGGTGCTGAGAAAACCGAAGACACTGTTCGATTTTCGAGGGAGTGGGAGAAGCGGGAGACGGCGGAGGATCGGTGGGCTTGTGAACGTGAGTAGCTTCGTGCGTCTCATCGATGTACTCTGATTGACGGCACTGTCACAGGAGGTATCGCCGACGGCCCTGCCTTCCTTGTTCCAGTCCTCTCTGGAGGCACAGCTCCTCACTGGTATCGTTGATGCCTTACGGGACGTGCTCGAGGCACATCCGGACGAGGAGACGCGCGGACGCGTCCGTGAGTATGTGGTCAACCTTGCACGCGTGCCGCGGTTCAGCACGGTGGTGCTGTTCATGAGCGCGGATGAAAAGAAATCGCAAAGCAAGTCTGGGAGCTGCTCGGAGGAGAGGAAGAGAAGGCATGGGGAGTCAGCTAAAGATGGCCTGTAGAGTATGTCCAGTACGTGGCAATGCTACCATCTTGCCGCATGAACTACGCACTATGAGGAGTGTGCTACATAGCATCTGCAGGAGATCTCAAGATGGGACAGTGAGGTTGTCAGTGAGCCCGGCGATCTGGCGTATCAGATACACGGGGAGGACAGGGATTGGGCGTATAATTTAGTGCGGAGACCCGCTTGCTTGCGATACATCAGCATATAACGTACACCGCGTACATCCTTCTGCCTGCTCCCTCGTCGTCTGCTGCCCAGGGACCCGTTCCCGGCGCACGCGACCGCACGGATGTGCAGCGAGGCGGCCTCGTCTGACGGCGTGGCGGGCGAAGGGGCGTCTACTCGCCGTCGTCGGCGGGGACGGAGTTCTCCTCGTACCACTTCTTGAGCCACGACTCTGCGACGATGTACTCCTTCTTGACGCGGCCGAGGAGGGGCTCGATCTTGCCGAGGGCGGTAACGTCGGTCAGGTCGGTGCCGGTGTCCTCGTCGCGGAGCTGGCCGTAGTGCTGGATGCGCTCACACGAGGCCTGGACGCGGGCGACGCCGAGGGCGGCGGAAGAGCCCTTGAGGAAGTGGCCGAGGGACGAGAGCTTGGTGAGGTCTTTCGCCTTGCTGTGTGTATGTGGGGCGGGTAAGTGGGCTGCGGCGGTGAGAGGCGAGGGGAGACGCACTAGGCCTCGTCCATCTCGTCGAAGGTGGTGTTCGCCTGGGAGAAGTAGGCGGTGACCATCTCCTTGGAGAAGTCGTGCGTGTCGTCCTCGTCGAGATCGAGGATCTGGTGGAAGGTCTCGAGATCGATAGTGCCTTCCGCGGCCTGGGAGGGTGAGCAGCGCGATCGGGGGACGGGGCGGGGCACACACCTCTGTGTCGACGGCATCGACCTCATCGGGCCCGTCTGGGGCGGGCGGGGGCTCGACGGCGGGGGTTGCTTCGCGGCCGGGGGCGAGAGAGGGATGGCGGGAGGGCGGGGCGGGGGTTGCGGCCTTGGACTTTGGTTCAGGCGCAGGGCCGGGTGCGGGGGTCGCGGGGGGCGAGAGGGCAGAGGCGGGTGCGGGGGTGGGCGAGCGGGCCTTGGCTGTGTCCGCTGGGGACATGGCGACGAGGTGGTGGACGGGACGAGGGACGAGGACGGCAGCGGGCGATGGATTATCGCGCCGAGTTCTGGCCGCGGTGGCACAATCCGCCGCCGAGAGCGAATGCGCTCGCCTCGCTCGCCTCCCGGCCACGCCTGCCGTCCCTCTCCAATGACGTCCTCTTACGCGAGCTTCCTCCCATTTCACTTATCCCTTATCCCACAAATCCTCCCTTTCCCCTTTCCGGCCGCTCTTTCGCCCGCCCCAGCCCCGTCCCGTGACACATCACGTGACCGCGCCTCCGTCTCCCGCCCACCGCCGCCGCCGCCGCCGCCTCTCGCTGCTCGCTGCTCGCATGGCCACCGCCATCGCGCCCGACGTCCTCGCGGGCCACCTCGGCCACCTCACCCCCGACCACGACCGTGCCTTTGCTACCTTCAAGGACATCCTCCACAACGCGCACCTCTACGCGCCGCCCGCCGGCACCGCCCCTGCGTCCCACGACGACCCCACTCTCCTGTGAGTTGCCTGCCCTGCTCTCCAGCTCCCCCCTCACGCCGCTGCAGTCGCTTCCTGCGTGCACGCCGCTTCGACCCCGCCAAGGCCCTCAAGCAGTTCCAGGACGCCGAGGCATGGCGTAAACAGCACCGCGTCGACACGCTCTACGCGACCTTTGACCCCGACGAGTTCGAGTCCACCCGCAAGTTCTACCCCCGCTGGACCGGCCGTCGCGACAAGGTCAGTCTCCACGATCCCAACCCCACGCATGCCCTCACGCGTCGCAGAATGGGCTCCCGGTGTACGTCTACCGCCTCGCCTCGCTCGCACCCATCAAGTCCGAGCTCGACGCCGTCCCGCCCCCCCGCCGCTACCAGCGCATGTGAGTCCGCCGTGCTCCCCCGCGCGCGCCGCTCACCCCCGCAGTGTCGCCCTCTACGAGACGATGACCCGCTTCGTCCTCCGCCTCTGCTCCCACCTCCCCCACGCCACCGCACCCACCCCCGTCTCCTCCGTCACCACCATCATCGACCTCGAGCACGTCTCCCTCAGCGCCATCTGGAGCCTCCGCGGCCACCTCCAGGAGGCCTCCGCCCTCGCGACCGCAAACTACCCAGAGACGCTCAGCACCATCGCGGTGGTTAATTCGCCCTCGTTCTTCCCCACCATCTGGAGCTGGGTCAAGGTGGGCCTTCCCATTTCTGTCAGTCACACAGTCTCGGACGCTGAACGCCTCTTGTAGCCCGTCTTCGACGAGGGCACACGGCGCAAGGTCCATGTCCTCGGCAAGGATCCGGGACCCGTGCTGCGCACCCTCATTGATCCGCAGGACCTTCCGCGCCCGTACGGCGGTGAGCTCGACTGGAAGTTTGAGGACGAGCCCTCGCTCGATGAAGATACGAAGAAGGCCATTGGGACCATGCCGAAGGGCCCTGTCGAGTTCGTCGATGGCGAGGTCAGGAAGCCGCCAGCCCCATCGGACGCGCCCTCTGAGTAGTAGAGCTTTCATGCACATACATTCTTGACGGACACTACGTAAATTGTACATCGCATGCGTTGGGAGAGAACAAGAAACGTAATAAGGATAGAACAACATTATAAGAGAGCGAGCTACGAATAGGAACAGCATGGCAAGAAAACAGCAGCAATAGCGTACACAGCATCGTCCGGTGAATCACACAAAGTCGTCTTCAGGTTCAGCAGTCAGTCCATCCTCATTCCACACCTCTAGGAACTGTAAAGGACGTCAGTAAGTCGTGGTGACAAATAGACAGAAGCGTACCCTAGCCCGTTGCGCTTCGACGTCCGCACTAGACAGAAGCGGCGCTGCAGCAAACGGCAGGCGATCCCACAGCAGCGGTCGTTCATGCCGCCGCGTGACGGCCTTGTCACCAGCGGCACTCTTCTTCCCCACTACCCATTTCGCGCATTTCCTGAGACCCTGGTCAGTCGAGATGTCTTACTCGAAGGGTCATGCGCTTACTCCTCTGAGATCCCGTACAACCCCTTCAGATACGCCTTCAGCAGCATGATCATGGCTACAATGACCGACGTCCGCATCAGGGGGAGGGCATCATCCACATTCGCTGCAAGCGGATCAGGCGTCGCCCTCATTAAATGCACGATGACATACTGATTGCGGTCTTGGGTGCCGCGGCACTGCTGCTCTGCGGGGCTACGGAGGCATCTGCCATCCTCTGGTCTTCGTCCTGAGGCTGTGTAGACGTCGGCGCGTGCAGCTGTGCGAGGAGGTGCGACGGAGACAACGTCTCCACGAGCTGCATGCCGGCCGTGGAGAGCACTGCCGTCAGGTACTTCAGCACCGTCAATACCTCCTCGTGCGTCTTGTACTCGAACGCAGCAAAGTTCTCGGCCATATATCGAACGAAGTCGACATCATCCTACTCGCCCAGTCAATTGAGCGGGCCTGCGTATATGAGCGCATCACTTGCCTGTGTCGTATCCGCAGTAGCCTCCACGTCGAACACCTTCACAAGCGATTTCAGGAAGTCCTGCCTGGTCGCTCGCTTCTCACGGACGAGAGTATACCAGCGACACAACAGAGCGATTGGACCAGGCATCCGATAACCTGGGCAGACATGAATTCGGTGTACTCCTGGATACAAAGCTCCCTTACCTTGCACTTGCCCAGGAAGAAGCTTCTTCTGGTAGTCAAACGACGCTCTGGCGCTCACGACAAAGCGAGTGTTCAGTAGCGAGGTGTGTTTACCGTGCAATATACTGTGAAGTGCACTGGCACGACCACTCAGAATAGCGCTCGAGCTAGTCTCCAGAGCCACGATCACGGGGAACGACTATGTCTCAAGTCAGTATCTAGCCCCTTCAATGATCCTCCAGCATTACCTGAAGTGGATGTGCAAGGCCCTGCTTTATGGTGAAACTGAGGATATCCACAGCCGCCGATTGTATTATCGTGTTGGGGGATAGTGCGGCCTGCAGAATGGGATCCAAATAGCGCTGCACGACGGCGGAGCTCACCCTGAAACGAGTCCAACTTCAGTGCTCTGGACTCTGCCATCACTGGCGACTTACCCAGACTCGGCAAAGCCGTCCGTGTTGCCTACCAGTTCATCCATATTCACCATTACCGACGTGGCTGACTTCACCCGTGAGCTCGCTGAGGGTAGTCAGTGCCTGATATCCGCGCAATGAACTGCCAGGCGTACCCTTTTCTCTTGAAGCATGCTTCGCAGCCTCGGATACTAAGAAGTCTTGCAAAATCTTCAGCAGGCGAGTTCGGCCTTCTTCCTCAGGAGAGGAGAAAATCGCATCCATAACCGCAGCTGATGGTTCAGCGGTCATTAACGCGGGTTGCGCACGGAAGAGGAACCCTGACGATCATCTTGAGATTCAACAAACAGTTGAGCATCAGTCATCCGTACCGAGACACTGCAAGATACGGGCGCGCAAGCTCGCGTCACTATGTTTGTGATACAGCTTCAGCAAGTTGTTGTACACATGTTCGGTGATGGGTCCCTGGAAGACACCGTTAGGAAAACTCAGCATGGCAGGATAGGACCAATACCTTTGAGATGGTGTCGATTTCGGCCCGAAGGGCTATAGCGCACTGTAGGTGAACAGCTTAAAGACCAAATCGAATTGCTAGCTCACCTTCATGTTCTACTCTCAATCGGTCGAATGAACAATTTTCGCAGAGCAGCGATACAATGAAGAGCAAGATGGATATAGCACGTTGTTCAGAACCACTGACTGACTGGGCATCTGACTTGGAGAGAGCTTGTTGTAATCGAGCTAGATGGATCACACCACCCATTAGAGAATGTGTCGTAGAAGTCGGAGGGACTTGCCGTTGCATGATCTCAAAAGAGCGACTAGTCGATTAAACTCGTGCGTGATGTGCTCGACGATAGCGCACATGCATGCGACAGTCTCTTGCAAACCCTGTCATGAACGTGAGAGATAGCTCCCAACAACTCCTGACGAACTATCCTCACCGACAAACCGGACATCGGCTTGAGAATCATAGGCTGCAGCGTCAATTGCAACTCTTGTCCGAACTTCAGAGCGGTCTTTGGCATAAATGGTATCGTGACACGGAAGATGCGCAACAGATAGTCAGAGGTTGTCTGCTCCTCAAGCTGTTCATAATAGTCAGACTTGTGCGCCGGATATATATAAAGTACAGACATACTGTGGTAGCGTTTTTCAGGTAAGGCAACAACGTGGCGGCATTGAAGCCGGCAAGCACAGCTGGATATGCCGACGTGAATAGATGAATGGTGCGTACACAGTTGACGACAGTCTGCGCGAAGGTCAGGTATTCCCAGGGTCTTTTAGTTAACGAGGGACGCACAAATTCAGGCAGGTCAGACGCGTCAACAAGCCCGTCTATCAGGACGCCGCAGATCTCGGCATATCTGCTATTGACCAGGGATGCGTCCGCGCTATCCTTATCATGCATGATGGCGTGCAACATGTCCTCCAGAGGTGACTGACGATCCTTGAAGTGGCTAGCCACCCCCATAATAATCGCAACTTTGGATTGCAATTCCGCCCTATCGATTGCTTGCATAGAGTTGTTCTTACTCTTCTGCGGCACCGATCCAAACCAAAGCTCCTCCAAAGTTTTGATAGCGAGGTCTTTGACAGTGTCATCTTCGTCAACCATACGGAGGACGATCTTCACGCATATCTCCACACGACGCGAACGTTCTGTGGTAACCGAGTAATACGACTTCAGGAGCCTGATGACACGCTTACGCACGCCAAGCCCCGTGTCCTGTGAAATTATTCGATGTAAGCGGCGAATAGCAACGAACACTCGAGACACGTACCGCTATACGGTCAACGATCCTCTGAAAGTAGTCCGCTGCAAATTCTGGGGATTCGATCATATATTTCCCTATCAGTTCGACGGCAGCATCTCGGACGGCGGATGAACTGTCCAAGAGATGACTCTCGATTGCTCGCCGAACGTTTGGCTGGATCAGGGGTATTAGTTGCATTATAGTCCAACAAATTATGACTCACAAAGGAAAGGATACGAGGATCGCTCGTAACAATCTGACCTAATGCCTTCAACGCCTTGGTCCGCATGAAGACAGGAGGCGCATCGAGCGCCCTCAACACAGCATTTAGAATGGGCGTAAACGAATTCTTAAAGGTCTGGATGGTGCCAATTTCCTCGCATAGTCGGTGCATACGGGTCGCCTCATCTTGTGAGCCTCTGCTCATGTGTGAGAGCGCTTCATACAGCGACACGATACGAACGTACCCGATCTCAAACACGTCGCTGACGGGGTCTTCCCAAACGTCCTGAAGAGCACCCTTCAGACGTGACCCGAAATCCACGACGACATCTTGATCGGACTGTGAGTCGCGCTCCTCGTCACCGTCAGCAAGTACAGAGGCACAATGCTGAAGTGCAGTTGCAAGTTCTTGACCCCAGACGACAGCTGCAAGCTCCCGGGCACTCTGTACGAGAAACATCAGATGCACGCAATTATACACAAATAGACACCGTACTTCGTATGACTGATCCTCGCTGGTCTTCTTGCACAGGTAGGAAGCAAGCTCCTGATGCGCCGAGATCAGCGCACGTAGCCCTTTGATACTGTGATTCGACAGAAGCTAACAGCGACCCTTAGTAGTTTCACAAGAGAATATTGTCCGCATTTTGGGCTCACTTCGTCCACCGGCCGCAGTTGCTTGACAGTGCCACTCTGCACTTGAGAGGCCGTTGTGCGCAGACGTGCCGCAATGATGCCCAAGTGATCCAGTGCCAGAGTCTTCATGGCCTGGTTGTCAGTCTGTGAAGCAGTCTTCACATCGTCTAAAGAAGCCACCTGAAGGGGTTGGGTTGAGCTTAAAAGCCACACAACAACCTCGAAGGCTCACCATGTATTTGCAGATGATACTGAGAAGTAAACTGGCTGCAGGCCATTCAGGCCAGAACAGGACACACAGCAAGTCGGATATGAGGTTGTCGAAGATGACACGATACTCGGCTTCATTTGAGTTCTTTGTCGTTTTACTTTTGCCTGACCTGATACACCGTCAGTCCAAGCTACTGGAAATGTTGAAGACGCAGCACCGTTGAGTCAGGAATACGACAATTGTTTTGCAGCCTTCGTCGCCGAGTCCAATCCGGACACATACAACCGTAACTCCTGTGAACACGTCAGTTTCTGATGGTCAAGCCTCGCAGCGGGCTCTTACCTCTGTGTCCTGCGCACCCAAAAATGTGTTACCAATCGCGACTGACGCCCCTGGGCGTTGGGACGCCGATACTTCTCGAGACTTTCGCATAGCTTGAACGTCAATTCTGACGTCATGCGCTGAGGTCTGAATGAGCTGCATGAGCAGAGCGGACACTGTCCTGATTGAGCGACCATCACGAAGCCTGAACTGGACTCAGTATACTGCCATGAACCAGCGAGATATTACGATACCGGAATTGCCCTGCTTTCTGCTTGCTATCAGAGAGCTTGATTAACGACGTCAAGATCTCCTCGATAATCCAGCTCCGTTGCTCTTCGTGATTAGCGAAAACCTGGGTGGCGTTGAGACAACTCGTGACACGCGAACGAGCCAGACACTCACACTTCGAATCAACGCTAAAGCATCCAGTCTAAGCCCCCTCATAGCACTGCTGCCCAGCGTATTCAGAACCACGCTCTCCTTCTTGCCTTTCCCTTCGTTTTCGCCGCCATTCTCAACGACGAAGAACGGCCCGATGGCTATGTAGACGACCTGAATAATGATGCCTTCAGACATTGCCAGCCTGTCGGCGTTCACGAGTTCATTAATCCGTGGAATTGCGGCCTCCAGTGTCTGGAACAATTCGGCTAGCTGACGGCGACAGTTGCTTCCGCGGGTAGAGGGGTGCATAACGTGCCGTAGCAATCGCGACTGCGGTCCTCCTGTACTCTCGACGAACGGATACACTATCATTTCGAGTTGATTCTTCACGGCACCGAGACAGGCGTTGATGAGCTCTTCTGAATACAACTATACGCACACAATGGTTAGTCTGCAACCGAGTAAAACTAAGCCTGGCTTACTTGTTTAGGTAGCCTGTCACTGCTCAGTAGCGAGATACAACAGTTCGCCGCCAAAATACTGTCACGGGCGACATCCAGAGACCGATCCAACACTGAAGTGTCGGTCTCGGTGTGATCGACGTTAGCGGGCAGGTCATCTGAGAGGGCAGTGCCACGTCCATCGAATGTCCGCGGAGTTTCTGACCTTGAGTGGGCTTCGTCCATTTGCGCAACGTGATCCTTGCCTTGACGCTTCCTGGGACTGCCATGCATCGAGTCACTCGCTTTCGCGGAAGATGTCTCGAAGGGGTCAACGTCATGGCCCATTCTCGCGCTTCGTTCTAACATCTTGAGGAGCCTCGACAGAGCCGTCATTTCCACATCTGCCATGCGACCCTTCTGTCGATTGGCACCATCGTCTCTTCCCGACGATCGTGACTGTCCTGCGGGCCGAGCCATCTTGGCGATATATTTCAACAGCTTCTGCACGATCTTCGGAGCGAGGAGAGGATGTGAGCAGTCTGTCGTGTAGCGCGAGAAGAACTCTCGGGTAAGTCCTTAGGGTCAGCATCCGGAGACAGCGCGTCTTCGGCTTCGAAGATGTCTTCCAGTAATGCGACGAACTGTTCGAGTGGGGCTAAAGGTTACGTGAGGTTAGATTGACAGTCTTGCGGACAAAGAGGCGAACCAACCTCTACTATCTCGTTCGCCGGTTGTTCTCTTGGCGGATGATCTCGCACCGCTCCTGCTGGTGTATATATGCGTCGGAGGGGAGCTCTGGTCGACCGATTCGAACCCACCGAGGTCCACGTCATCATCGTCGACCTGTCGTTTCCTCTTTCCCGTAGTGGGAGTAGTAGGAGCCCTCGCCGAGACGGAAATTTCCACATACGGATACAGTTTGTGATTGGGATGCGGGGTGCGGGGAGGGACATCGACGTATGGTTGAAGTCTTCCTTTTGGAGTAAGCGAGCTCGCAGGCTTGGAAGACAACCGGTTGGGCTGTAAAATGGTGGACATATGCTGTGACATTTCAGGATCGCCTTCGGTTTGTCGTCGCTTCGATATGGGCGACGCTAAGAGATGGGCAATCTTCCGCTTCCGCGGAGTCTGGGTACCGGGTGTAAGCGTTAGGGGATCAGGACTCTCCGGTTGCGAGGCAGTCGATTGACGAGGTGGCGATTGTGCGCGGTTATACGCAAGTACTGGATCAGCGGGAACGGCAGATTGGGTGACAAAGCCATCGAAGAATTCTGCAGAGTCTGCCGCATTGTATAGGGTCCTTGACGGTTTTGGCGGTGGCGGACCGAGTGCGTTGGCCAGAGATGACGACGACGTTCGGATACCAGGAGGTGGAGGGGTTGGATAAGCGGAGGAAGGCAGTGAATGCTGCAACACAGAGTGTGCGAAGGCCGACGTCTGGTAGCTTGACGCCTGTTGGTACGAGGATGTCCACGGACTTTGCGCAACCTGGTAAGGGTTCCCGCTGCGCGGGTCAGTACAGCAACTCAACAGCGAGATTGGAGAACACGTACAACCCCTGCTCTCCTAGGTGTCTTACAGCATCATTCCTCATAGTCTCCCAGTATCTTCTGTCGTGGAGACTTGCCGCAGAAGGGTCCAAATTCCCGAGCTCGTACGCGTAGTCGGAAGACGATGGCAGATGTGAATGAGAATACGGTCCCTCCGGTCGATGCACATGCGGCTGCACGTAAGAAGGTGGCGCTGCATACAGAGATAGATGACTGAGGTGCCTGGTTACTGTGTGGTTGTCAGATATGTATGACGTCTATTCCGCTGTCGTTGGATACCGACCTTGCGATGAGGGAGTAGTAGAGCCAACAGGATATACAGCTAACAAGCCATGTGCGCCCTGGACTGACGTCGTGGCCATGCGGCTGCCTTGAGATGGCGGAGAAGAATATGTTTGGTCGTACGAGGCAGAATGCGAGTACCAGCCATTGCGGTCCATGTATGCTGCAATGTCGCCGACGAGGACTCGGAATGCGGACGACGACGGCGGACGCGCTTCACTGGAAAGGCCACCGATGGAGCGCTCGTGCCCACGAGGTGGGCGCTCTGTGACGCCGTTACTGTATTACTATATCAGGCCGGGATCTCGGCCACCTTAGCACTCGACGAGCCCTCCTCGCTCTACGTGTGCTATACTTGCCCGGGCTCATGTTGGAATGTCTTCAGAATATAGGAAAATATTGGTCAAGACTTACAACCATTATGTGGAGAGCAGGGTGAGCTGGCCTGACTAGGAAGTTGGCCATTGTAGCGGACCGGTCATAACCATTCACCACACTTTCCTTTTTCTCACTCACCAAAACGGCTGTCTAAGCTGATCCCATAGATGTCGCCATTCTTTAATCTTTGAACCATTTATTTTATTTCTCTTGTGACCACTTAACAATGCTTGAAAATTTGCTAGCTACTTACTCTAGTTAAAAGACTAGGCTTGTATGGTAGTGTTTTTCAGAACCCCAAAGCAGTCCTATAACCTGTCTTTCTCTGTGCGTGCTCTCTCTCCTCTTGTCACGCCACCAACTTCCTTCTAAGGATCACAAGTGTCACACTTTTTTGACACTACCTCAACTCTCTTCCAAACTTGCTTTGTCTTAAAACTCCATCAGGAAAAACACTTTTGCGTGCCAAGGGTTTGGTGATTCTTCAAAGTATTGTCAAGCAGCACCAAGGCTTTGGAAATATTATAAAAACATTATGAAAAACATGCGTGCTTTCAAATGTGTCACAAAGACTTGCCACTCAATTGAACCAATGTAAATGACATCTAATTTATATACTCCATTTGTTGAAGCATTCTCTTTTCAAAATCATGTTCAAAGAGAGTCATAGACTGTATAACCAGTCATTAGTAAGAGGTTGTTCTTGCTCAAATGACCGTGCTCCAAGTCTCAGTGGCCCCATGCAATGATATAAGAGGTGGCACATGCCAGTCATGGTGTAGTAGACCCTAACTATTTGTGTACTAGTACTAGTACTAGTATACTCTCTGGGACCCATCTCTCCAGCTGACCAGCTCGTCCAGTGCTTGTGGCACACTTTCGGGTATTGTGCCTCCGCAGTAATGAACAACTCCCAGTGCCACCTGTTCACGTTGCACCTGTTCAGGAGCATGCACTTGCACTCCCAGTGCTGCATGGAGCAGTAGTATCACTTGAACTCGAGGATCTTGACCAGCTTTTGCTCGATCTCATGATCTAGTGCAGAGCAGGGGTAAATCCCTGGATACTCCGAGGTATACCCGCACCCGTACCCGTGCAGGGTATGAACCCCGCCGGTACGGGTATGGGTTTGGGCGGGTTCACACGGGTTCATGCAGGTCAGGGGTACTATTGTCGAGACATTGTAGTAACTCATTATATGTATGCATAACCATCAGTCACCGCGCGCACAGATTTCAGCTCCATCATCAGTCTCCACAACCACAATGCGCACATCGTCATCTTCGACAAGCCCAAGTTGGCTCCAGTCACCGAGGCACAGCAGTGCACGGACTGACTGTGCATCAGGAAAAACCTACATATCTTTCTGGTCTTGTACAAGTACCAGAGAACACTTAAGGGACAAAAGGGCCTAGTGTTTGAAAGTCCAGTCCATGGACTGGAAAAAGACTGGGACTGAACTGGGACTGGCCTTGGAAAGACTGGACTGGACTGGTCAAAGTAGGACTGGTCCTACCCAGTCCATTTGCAGTCTTCCAGGGTTCGGCAAATTGGAGGGACTGGTCAAAAGACTGGTTGCAACCAGTTGTGACTGGTCTTTGGCCACCCCCCTAATATGCTGGTGTACATGGCCAAATGGAAGGTTTTGGGGGTCATAAATAGCAGTAATACATAGGATATGCACAACATGGTGGACATATTAATGATGTAACCTATTTAGGCAACATGTATTGTCCATCTATGCACCTCCACCTATGCCTAATTAGTATGGTAGGTATACCTGTCTCACCCTTACTGACATCACATGCCTTGCCTGTATCAGTCATTATGGACTGAACTTGCTGGGGAGAGGGCCATGGCTGGCAGTACGATCCCATTGGTTTAGACACATTGAGGTGTGAAGAATTCAGTATTTCCCATTTTCACTGTCTAGTTGCTGCCTGGCAGCCCAAATACTCTATGCATCCTGTTTATCTACATTGTTGATTTCAGTGCTCCATCATGAGCAATATTACAATTGAGCAAGTAAGCCACCATGTGTTGTGTGTCATTGCTATATTCATAGGAAACTGTCTGTGAAGAGCACATACTTACACTGAGACTTGCACATGGAATCATTATTGCCTTTGCTCAGTATTCCAGTAATGCCTACTCAATGGTCATGGTATCCAGTCATAATTATCATGAACACAAAGGTTTTCAACCTTTGTGAGATAACTTTTGGTTTCATCTGCTGGCTGACACTTACTTCTTTTGTATGCATGCACAATTCACCACCATATTGCTCTTGTTCAACCACCCTCTCAATATATACAGATTCTCTACTGTGTATTTGGAATGGCAGGTACTCCACCAGATATTACCACAATGCACCATGTGTAATAATACCTGCTTCTTGGACCCTCCCATGATATATACAACACTGTTAAAATGGCACACGTGTTCACTCCTGGGTCTATGGTGTTATTGTGTGACTTTCCATATACCATCAAAGAATCCAGCATGAGTAGCTGACATTTTATGCTAACATGTGAAGGGAAATGTTGCTGCCAATGAGAGTGATCCAAAGTCACTTATTATTGACTCGAGATCTAGAAAAGGTCAGTCAGATATTTGCCTAGAAGTCCACTATAAGTATGGTCTGTTGCTGGTTGCCTAGTGGCAGTCTGAGTGACAGTAGACATTGTACAAATAGACATCATCAATACATGGTACAATCATTCCCTGCCAATTATATCACCCAAGGCTCATTGCGTAACTTGAACAATAGGACCTGGTAACACATCAGCCTATAATATGATGGTAGAGGTTAGATATGCTCCAAGCAATTATCATATGAGGGAATAGAGTTGATGTCATCTCATTCTCCACCATTTGTCTAGCACTGTAGCAACTATGAAGGGCTGGGATGTATGGTAAGTCTGCATGTCTAGTTTCTCACCTCATGACACTGGTAGTGTATACAGTTCTCTAGTAAGAGTAGCAAGTGCACAGTACAGTGTCTCTGTGTCACTTCTAGGATCAGTACAGTGTGAACAAATTCTGGAACCCATATTTGTGATGGCTATGCCATTATACAAGGGACATGCAAAGCAAAGTCAATGTTATGAGTGTTTCCAGCATTGAATGGTACCTTTGTGCTGCAGGTATTCATTGTTGAGTGATCATGGTCCACATAAGGGGCTGAGAAGCCAATTACTAGTTACAGCAAGTAGTACAAGGTGGGAATCATACATAACATTTCCTTGTTTTGTCTGCATTTTCTGAGCCCAGACTCAACAACTAATTCAAACTTTCCAGGTCAGCTACTACATAGTATTCACACAATTCATAGGTAATTGGTAAGCATCACAGGAAACACAAACAATGTCAAAGAATGAGTGTGAGGCATGTGCTTTTTATTGTTCTTTGTTGGATGGTGCTATATTAATATGAAAGTATGGGAAGGCATACTATGTACAGACTCTATGACACATTATATGTGACTGAGAATATACCCAATCAGTTTTTTCTTTACATTTTTGGGAGGCCACAGCACAGCAAATACATGTCACTGATGGGCTTGTGGCTGGCATTCAAGCTGAACTCCAGAGTTTGGCAGCCTGTCTGTTCAGGGCCTGTTGAACTGTTGAACAAAACACAACAGCTTAGGATCCTGTTAAGATAGGCCTCACTCATAATCCGTATCTTGTGGGGCCGGGCTAGGCGCACGTGATCTGGCATACCAAATCGGGAAATAATGTGGCTCGACGCTGCGCGGGTGGTGTTGGACAGTACATGCGATGAATGAGTAGCTTGTCGAAGTAGTGGAATGTAGTGTAGTTTATTGTATATACTCAATGATCTCAGTCTGGGTCCATCTGGTCCAACTCGGTGAAGATCGAGTCGGGAACAACCCGGTGTCCATGGTATTTCTTCCCCGCATATGCGGCCTGCTTGCCATTAAGCCCCTTGCGATATGCGTCCATGAAACGGAACGAACGTGTGCAGAAACTATCAGTGAGTGTCAGATTTAGGTATCCAATAGCTGCATGGACACATACGGACGAATAGAGAGGAGAGGCACATGCTCGAGTGCATCCCTGACATTTGGCTCGAGATCAGCCTCTTTCGATGATGGAGGGCAGCGGCGATAGGTCCGCTTTGCGTGGCCCCAGCATTGCTCAATCGGGTTGAGCTCTGGGTGAAACTTCGGAAGAAACAACACATTGAAGCCACGCGCATGACATGCTTCCTCCACCAAGGACTCGACATCAGCAAAGTCTTTCTCGGAGAACAACATCCGGCGACAGCAGCAATCACTGTGCCCCTTCGTGCACTTGAAGCCCTCACACTGGGCCTTGAGCTTCCGGATCGAAGCTTCCTTGCCTGGATAGCGCTCGATAAGAATCTGGGCCATGCCCTTGAACTTCCCTGCGAGATCGGGGTGCTGAGGATAGACGTCGGGATAGTATAGGCTCTGCGATGTCCCATCTTGGAACATCGCATCGCTCATCTTCATGCGCTGCTTCAGCGGCTTTCCGTTCGGGCCATATACAAGGTTGCTGTTTTGATCATTGACCTTGACATCAACACCGAACCTCTCGTTGCCCGCTCGTGCAGGGCTCGGGCCCTTGGGCATCCTCCGTGCCGAGATTGCATCGTCTGCTCACTTGAGATGTGTCGAGGCATTGTCCAGGACGAAGAGGTGGTCTTCATCAGGATACAGCTTCCGAGCGAGATCCATCGCCTTGCCTAACTGCTCCGTGATCTCCTTGCTTGTGAAATACCCATCTCGTTCCTTCCCTGCTCGAAAGTAGACACGCGCGGAATTGGCTGCGTCATCTGAGCCGAGAAACCCATGGTCTGCAGACACAAAGTCCACGACCATCAACGAGACACCCTCTCCCTTGGGCTGCGGAGTTGCCTTCTCGTCCTTGTGGACCCAATAGGTATGTCGGCGATCATTGGCATAGAAGGTGCTCTCATCGTGGAACCATATGACAAGGCGCCGATGCATAGGACGTGGACCTGCATACGGGATCTCGGTCCCATCATCATTATACACCCGAAGGCGATCATCAATGTCCGAAAGCGCGGGGAGGAAGACATCTTGCCGGTAAGTGACAACATCCTCGCGTTCATGGCCATCGATATATTGACCCTTTGGTCCGACCCCCCAGCGGTAATCCATCCGATCCATCCATCGTTGCGCAGTTGCCACCGACGGAGCCCAGCCATCGAGGTCGTACTTGTCCTGGATCTCAGGTGACTGGAAGAAATGGACAATGTCCATTGCTTTCCGATGTTTTCCGACCCCCTGGAGGTGCAGGTGAGTTTCGGCTGCCAGTTCATCGTCATCCATGATTGACACATTCCATGTGCCATACGAGTTGTACGGCAGGTCTGTGCGATCGGCGATGAATGCACGGCAGTATCCCCGAATCGTCTCCGCTGTCGTGCGACCCTGATCAAATGCGTGTGCTGCATCAAGGGATGCTTTCTGCCAGGTATGTCGGTCGATATCGCGGGTGTAATGCCACAACATGTTCTTCATCATCTCGAGCCTTCTCCGCAGCAGATCATCGCCCGAGAATGCTTTGTGGCCTTTCCCACTCGCACGCCATGGCCGAAGTAAGTTGCTGATATCCTCTAGGGCTGCTTTGGCGTCGTGGATGCTCGGAGCAGGGACATATGGGTGACTCGGGTGAGAGGTCTTTGCTTCCGAGTCATTGCTCACTGGTTGACTAGCACTGGCAGCTTCTTCGTCTTCCGGGACATCCTCAACCTCGACAGCATGGTTCTCACACATACCATCACCTGCAGACCCCTCTCCATCACTGCCTACACCCATGTCAATGTTGTGGGCCTCGGACACACGTTCCTTGGATGGTTCGGGTGAATCTGTGGCTTTCGAACCACTCGCCACCTCAGATTCGCCCCATGTCGGCTGCGCGATCTCATTGAACACCGACGACGAGCTTTTCGCCAGACCTGCCAACTGTTTCTTGGCTTTACCGAGGGTGGTATAAATCCGCTTTGTTTTCGGAGTGACATCGGGATTCAGCAAAGCTGGCTCATTGTATGTCAGCGGCGGTGTCTGCGGTGCTTCGGATGGTCTACATTCGAGTGGTAAGTGCTCATTCTCTGGATTTGGAGACTGAACTTGCTCCTCAGTGACTTTTCGCTTTTTTATTGCATGTCTACCCAGATTTACGATAGCTTGCAGGAGCTTGCGCTTTTTTTGTGGCATTTTACGATGGTTTTCCGGTCATCGAGCGACGGCGCTTGTGCGATTGTTACCTGCGCGCCCTTGCTTAGTCAGAGCGCTACCGTATTTGTGCATCAGTCTATGAGACTCCATCACTTACACAGGGCACTGAAAATTAATGTGGACGGAACTTTGTTAGATAATGTCTATTTGAACCACATTTCGGTGGGAAATTACTTCAGAGTCCCTATTGAGTGCAGAGAATGCATTCGCGAAGTATGCACCCGCCAAAACCGGCATAAGCGCCTAGGGGTATTCGCACGTGATGATACGGGTTATGAGTGAGGCCTATCTTAGGAGTTGCCAGTTCCTGACAATTCCAGGTGATACTGGTGGTTACAAGATATACAAAGACTCACTGAAAGAGTGGCTTATATCAGGCCATGCATGGGAAACTCTGCACTATCATAGGTTTTTTACCACATGTGAGCCTCAATAGTGAGCACAATATGAATGTATAGTACTCCTGGATTTTTCTCTGATTTTCCTGCTATTTATCCAGTACTGCAGAGGCCATCAATGGCCAACTTCCTAAATGGGCAGGAGACTAACCATATATGGCAGGTTTCCATGTCTGCCTCAAAGACTCCCCTCATACCTGTGGAGCTCTCTAGTAAACATGCTTACCAAGATCTGCTCATATGCCTCAGTATCACTTCTCATGGTCAGTACTCTCAAAGATACCTAATATGGACACCCATCAGTATCCATGAAGTATCCCATGGAGAAGGAATATTTGGGTATTTATTTGAGTATTTTTGCGCATTTAATGGGGCTCTAGTAAGAGCTGAGTTAGTGTGGCTGAGAGCCATCAAAAAACTCGGCATGAAGAGCTGAGATTGCTGAGATTGAAAGATTACTTTAAAAAGGAATATTTGTCAGCATCCCAGCCAATGGGAATGTTCCAAAATCCCTTTTGAATGACCGGAGTCGTCGACAGGCCGGGAATTCCGGCCTGTCGACGACTCCGCTTCGGCAACGGGCGCTTATTTGCGCGCTTAGTAAGCGATGTAAGTGTGCACTGTTTCTGCAGCAAAACTGACTTGTTTGGGGCTCAAGAAAGTCCCAGAAAATCGGATAATGTTCTAGAAGATCTGTGGAATATCCCTAAGCATCTTAAAAATAGATAGAACCTCAATACATGGTCATTCAGTAGTGGGAAGTCAACACAGGCATGTTATGACAATATTTCCCCACTCATAGCAGTGCTGTGCACATTCCAGACACACTCATGCTGTGTGGACTATGTGCATGGTCTATACAGGTCATATCAAATGTGTTTCAGAGACAACAACCTATTCATATTTGGAATCACTTTGCAATTGTCCACAGAGGTTCTCTTTTCTGGATTATGAATATATAGGCAAGGCATGCTGGTTATAGACTCTGAGGACTCTATACAGAATCAATTTCTTACATACAGCAGGCATCATGGATTAATTCAATTGTACATAATATTCCCAGATTTTATCAGCATTTTCTGAGCCCAGACTGAGCAGCTGAATGGAAACTGCCATTTTTGGAAGGCCAGCTTCCCTATATAGCAGATCCCAGATGTCAGAGAATCAATGGGCAGTCTACAGGCTTTGATAGAGTCACTTTGAAGGTTAAAAGCAGTGCACTCATGTGTACAGAGGCATATGTGGGTTTTTGAGTTTTGCGAATTGTGCCATAACCACTGAAGTTGATGGGCAAGTCACAGCAGCTACAGACTCTATGACATCATACCTATCAGAGAGAATATTTTGGGGATTTGTTGTATTTGTGAAGGCTACAGTACAGCAGATACATGGACTTGAGAGCCTTTGGCCAAATACAGCAAGGCCAGTCAGAGGCTAATTCCCTTAAACAGCATATTTCAGTGGAGTCTGGGAGACTACACTGCAAGATGACTCGTCCACAGGTCAAAATTTTGACCTGTGGACAAGTGAACCTCACATGGCATGTGGCTGAGCCTATTGCACCAGACTCTGTGTTTCTGCTATCCATCTCCTCCACAAGTACTCAGCATCACACATAAGTCCTATCAACCCACAATGGGACAATAGTGTTATCTAATGTTTTGCTCATTTTCCTGCCATTTATGCAACACTGTAAAGGTGATCTATCATCAACTTCCCAAACAGGCAAGGGATCTACCATATATGGTGATTTTTCATATCTGGTAGCCATAGACCCCTGCATAAGATTGTCAGCCTGTAGGACTCTCCAGTAAGGGCAGTAAATGAAAAACAACATTTGTACATATGCCTCTGCATCACTTGCCTTGGTCAGTACACTGTGAACAAGCACTGGGATACCTAATTTGGACCTCCATACCTGTGTGCAAGGAGCATTGCATGGGAGTCAATATTCCAAGATTTCTCCACATTCAATGTGCTCTAGTCAGAGTCTAGACAGTGCTGCTGACCACATTGGGCAAGCCATCAAAAAACTCGGCTGAGATTGAATGATTCCCTTAGAAGGCAAGGTTTGCCAGTGGTTCAACCAATGACATTGCTCCAAAATCCCTTTTGGGTGACCTGAGTTGCAGAGAAATGCAGGGCTGCAGTTGTATACAAGTCCGCTTCGGCAATGGGCGCTTAATGAGCGCTTAGTAAGCGGTGTCAGTGCAGACTGTTACTGTGTCAAGAGGGCTTGTATAGACTTGAAAAAAAAAGCGGAATATTCAGAAGATATTCAGAATGAATGAGGTCAAATCCTTATAGCCTTCCATGATACAATTGTTGCATCAACTAGGGCAGTATACTCAATAACACAGTGAAATTCACATTCAGGGAGCTCATATAAGCCTATGATCACAGTGTCTCTGCAGCATACAAAGCCTGACATCATAGTAGCATGGATACATATGTATGTATGGCCATTATATATCCCCAGATTGTGTCTATGTGTCTATATGCCAGCTACATGCCACAACTACCATATAGAGTAGGTGTCCTGCCCAAAGAGGAAGTAGGACAAGATGTGGTGCCCATGGAGGTCACAAAAATGCAGAAAATCTGTCAAATATACAGAAGTACCCAATAGGAGAATCTGAGTGCTTGGGATTATCATAGACATCACTACACCATGTAGATGGACTACAACATGTGAAAAGAGGGTCAAATGGCTCATTGTGGCTGATTTTGGCTGTAGTGCAGCACCCACTGAGTTGTACAGTGTCTGAATCACATATGTATGTCATTACAGACATATGGAACACATCTGAGGCACAAATAGGCACTTTGACATCTGCAGAGGCACATGTGGATTTTTTTATTTTGCATTTTCTGGACCAGCCAGCCACTCTAGCTACTCAATAATGATAGTGTATACTCTCTGAATGAAGGGCTATCAGATCAGTATACTAAGTCCATTCACAATTGTTACTAACTAGGGCTATGGGGCAGCCTATAAGTGTGAGCGCTAGCAGTGAGCTGCCTGGCTGCCAGTCACATGACATGCTCACCAGTTGCCATATTGGGTGCCACTCGAAGTGTTTCTTGGGCCCTCACCCCAGGACAAAGCACTGAGCCACAGCATTTGTTTGGTGGTGTTGGTGCAAGTCGCGTCGTCTGGGAGTCTGAAAATTTTGAACTCCGCTAACTGACCATAACAAATGTTAACTATACATGGTAAGCTGGGGGCAAATGACTGTACCTGTGGGAAAAAACTGCCGCATTGGGCGCCACTGGAAGCGTTTCAGGCCTGTCCATCATAAGAACGATACCTTCGTACCTCAGGGATCGTAAATATGATGCTCCCATGGGATACACACTACTGCCTACCATTATATACCATATTACAATAGTACAAGAAGCTTTGTAACCAAACATGCAGACATGATTGCTGAACAAACCAGTTGCAACTGGCAAAAGACCAGTCAGGACCAGTTGGGACTGCATGTGCAGTTGCAACCAGTTGGGACCAGTCTTTGGAGGCAACTGGACTGCAAAGGACTGGTCGCAGTCAGTCCAGTCCCAGTCCTACCATTTTGGGGTCAATCTAGGACCAGTCGCAGTCGCAGTCTTTCCTCTGAGGGGTCAAAAGACTGGACTGGACTGGACTTTCAAACACTACTGTTCACTCAGCATGGCCCTGGATATGGTAAGTCATCGGCCGGCCGACACAATCTCCCTTGATACACAATAGCATCCCTGCTCTGGACCATATCCCTGGCTGAGGGGAGAGTTGATGGTGTTTGCATTTTCCACCGCGTGAGTAAATCCCACGGTTCATCCTGTCCATTATCCTGACTAAATGTTGCAGCCACGCCGAGGTAGTGCCCTTCTGACTGAATGCATACACAATCAACTGGTATTTCTTCGGGCATGTGGTCATGTCGGTGACCCATGAGAACAGCTGAGAAAGTGTGGAGATGCCTGATATGGACGGCCGGCTGGCATTCCTCATACCATTTGATTGATACCTGAGTTGATGTTTTCTCATCTTGCTGTCTTTTGTAATTCATCATGCTGTGCTGCCTACTTCTCACAACTGACTTGCTGGGGAGAGGGCCATAGCTGGCAGTACGATCCCTTTTGTTGGATACATGTCAGTTTGTGAGTAAAACATTTTGACTACATCAGAAGTTAAGCTCAGAAAGACTGCTAATATATTGCCTGCATAGAGTACTGACATATCTTCCACATTTTGCACCACCTAGCTGCCATCTCATGGCATAAACATTCAGAGTAGCCTGCTAATTTATTATGTTGTTCTAATTTGAGGAGCATAGTTTGCAATTATGAGCAACATCCCAGTTGAGTAAGTATTTACATATTGATATGAGACTCTCCATTGAGAACACAGACATTATGGATCTATTTCTTACTTGATGAATTGCCAAGTTAATTACCAATATTACCAAAATACTAAGGAACAGTGTTACTGGTTTGTGTTGATATCAACAAAGAGAAAATAGCTTGGAAATGTTGCAAAGAAGTATGCCTCTAGATCAACTAGAACTCAAGGAAGGGGAATCTGGGAGGTTGACTACA